CAGACCTATTTATAACGAAGACCTGTTCCCCCCCCCCACACACACACACTTTCTGTTGATTAACTTATAGAATGAAAGTTGGCAGGGCTGTAGAATCTCCCTTTTTAAAAATTGGGAGATTTGTCCAGTAGCATTAATACAACTAAACAAGGGGGTGAGTAGAGGTGTCAACAAATCAGGAAATGTCTTAAAAATTTCGCGTGGCAACATATATTCTCCCAGGGCTTTGCCAGCTGTTGGATATGAACTTATTATTTTAGCTTCTGCAGCAATTACTAGGGACAACTTTAATAAATATTTTAATAAACCTGTACTCATTAAGTGTGGGTTTGATATTCTGATATACTCAAATTTATTTTAGAAATAAGTTATACCAAACGTCAAATGGAATCTGTGCTTCTGTTACTACTTCCATTTATCTCTTGCCTTGGGAAACTATTTCCTAAAATTTTGTATCATTATCTTGTAAACATAACTCTTTCTTTCTTTCTTTCTTTCTTTCTTTCTTTCTTTCTTTCTTTCTTTCTTCTTCCTTCCTTCCTTCCTTCCTTCCTCCCTCCCTCCCTCCCTCCCTCCCTTCCTTCCTTCCTTCCTTTTTTGTCCTTTCTTTCACATCTACATTCATAATTAAACCACAACATTCTGATTCCAGTCATTTTCCCTTGCCATGTTCTATATACCAGTGGTTTGAGGTTACCAACAATTTCCTCACATATGATATGTGCATTTTCTGGTTTTTGAATAAGTATAACTCTTTGGTGCAACATTGTTGGTCTGTATGGCATTCAACCTACAGTTTTGGTCAAGGGAGCTGTCCGCTTTAGTTGCTTCTGATTTACAACATTTGTAAACCCAGTTTCAGCATTCCTGTTGATTTCGAAGTTTTCTCCCTAACTTAAGAATTCCCAGGTTAACTTTTTTTTTTCTATTTGGGTTTGAAAAGCAAAGTTTTGGAAAAACTTTATTTAATCAATGAGTTGATATCTGCATAGTTTTGTTGAAGGTTGAAGAAAACTCTCTTTCATCCTGCATAATAATTCCCCCAAAAAATATACTTCTGATGCTCTAGTTCTAATCTAGCTTTTATCATGAAAAGTGGCTGAGTGACCTTGGATCAGTCACTCTATCTCAACCCAACCCACCTCACAGGGTTGTTGTTGAGAAAGAAAAGGAGGAAGAAGGAGTATTGAAAGGTTGCATTTACAGAGGGATAGAATCAAGATCACGTTTAGTGTTGATACCACTTTATAATGCCTTGGTAAAGCCACCCTTGGAATATTGCATCCAGTTTTGATCACCACAATGTAAAAAAGATGTTGAGACTCTAGAAAGAGTGCAGAGAAGAGCAACAAAGATGATTAGGGGACTGGAGGCTAAAACATACAAGGGACAATTGCTGGAATTCAGTATGTCTAGTTTAATGAAGAGAAGGACGAGGGGTGACATGATAGCAGTGTTCCAATATCTCAGGGGCTCCCACAAAGAAAAGGGAGTCAAGCTATTCTCCAAAGCACCTGAGGGCAGGACAAGAAGCAATGGATGGAAACTAACCAAAGAGAGAAGCAACTGAGAACTAAGAAGAAATTTCCTCACAGTTAAAACAATTAACCAGTGGAACAACTTGCCTCCAGAAGTTGTGAATGCTCCAACACTGGAAATTTTAAAGAAGAGATTGGACAAACATTTGTCTGAAATGGTATAGGGCTTCCTGTCTGATTAGGGGGTTGGACTAGAAGACCTCCAGGGCCCGTTCCAACTCTGTTATTCTATCCTATTCTAAAAGCTTGATGGATTCTTTATCATTATGAAGTGATCCCAGCCATGAATACAACACCAGCATATCCCTGTATCCCTCTATCACAATTCTCTTGCTGAACTTTTATATCTTCTAAGGGATGATGGGAAGAGAAAGTCATGCAAATTCCTTCAAAAACTTGTTCTTGGCTCTTCAAAAGGTTGTACCCAAATGAAGAGTCTTCAGTGTTTCTCTTAGATCCAGGTTCAGAATTCTTTGATTTACAATGAAGATCTTATTTTGTTTGTTTTCCTTTCTTTTGGTGCAAAAATGTAAGTATAAGTTCTAGAAGTGGTTTAGATGGCACACCATAGAGCTCTTATATTCATTCTCATCTTCTCTTTTTTCCAAAGGGGGCCTTCTCAGAGGTTCAGCTGGTTTCAACTGGCGCAGGAGTAGTAAGGCCTGGAGATAATCTCTGGCTGGTGTGTAAAGTGACCGGGTTCTCCCTCCAGACTCAGAACTATGTTTGGCATTGGTTCCGCCAGCCTTTTGGAAAAGGTGTAGAATGGGTTACAGGAATACATGCCTATAATGGGGACAAATGGTATTCTCACTCCATGAAGAACCGTGCCTCAATTTCAGCAGACAACTCCAAGAATGAGTTCTACCTTCAGCTGAATACTGTGTCAGTTGCAGACTCAGCTGTCTATTTTTGTTCCAGAGAAGACACAATGAGAGAAGTTTATTTGGGATCTGAACAAAAACAGGAAACAGTTCTTTGATTCTTATAAGTATGAAATGCAGAGGCAAAGAAGACAGTGGAGATCAGAGAAGAGCAAAGTTGGTCTTCTTTTCAGTCTTTAGCACAATATATAGGTCTTTAGCACTATATATCAGATGAACCCAGAGAGAGATTGATGAATATTTTGCAGCCATAGCAGATCTCCCTTCTTCTTCTTCTTCTTCTTCTTCTTCTTCTTCTTCTTCTTCTTCTTCTTCTTCTTCTTCTTCTTCTTCTTCTTCTTCTTCTTCTTCTTCTTCTTCTTCTTCTCTTCTTCTTCTTTTCTTCTCTTCTTCTTCTTCTTCTTTTCTTCTCTTCTTCTTCTTCTTTTCTTCTCTTCTTCTTTTCTTCTCTTCTTCTCTTCTTCTCTTCTTCTTCTTCTTCTCTTCTTCTTCTTCTTTTCTTCTTCTTCTTCTTCTTCTTCTTCTTCTTCTTCTTCTTCTTCTTCTTCTTCTTCTTCTTCTTCTTCTTCTTCTTCAAACCTAATAAAGCTATTTGCATTAATTTCACATCTCAATTCAGTCTGAAACATTATAACCAACCTAGAGATATAAGTAAGCTGTGGATATAATATTTCATAATATTAACACATTTAAAACATGTTTAAACTTATTCTGCTTTTTTAAACTTATTGAATTCCATTCTTTATATTGAGCCTACTTGAATGATTCTAATAGTGCATACCATTACATGTAAAATCAGTGCTCTTTACATATGTCAATTCTTGTAGGGTTTCAATAAAAATCAATAAAGGAAATTAATGTACAAAAATACATGTATTCATGATAGTATCTGAAATAGATTATAGTACATGATGATTAAAATGATTTAAAAGTCTGTGTTTTGGTGCAGCAATGATCAAAATACATTCCTACAGACAAATATACCCAGAAGCACAGTAAGTGGAAAAAATAGTATAATATTCATTGTAGTATCTGAAATTATAATCTAATTTCCCAGGATTTAAAAAATAATAATTTAAAAGCTGTGTTTTGGTGTAACAATGATCAAAATACATTCCTACAGACAAATATGCCCAAAACTACTGTACATTAAATGGAAAATTTAGTGTAGTTTTGGCGAACTTACAGTAACAGTATGCATCCTTTCAGATTTTTTCAAAAAGTGTTGTTACTATAATCAGCCAACTCTGGTTCTCTTTTATCCTGAAGTATATGCAAATACAGACATAGCCTTCCTCTTTATATGACATCTTCTCCCACCTTTTTAGGCTGTGGCTAGAGAGTAAAAGCCTGTCTGCCTGGAAGGTCTCCACTGAGAAAGAAAAATGTTAATTTTGCTCCAGCTCATTTCCATTTTAGCAGTTATCAAAGGTAATGGTTCTTCCATACAGAGTAGGAACGTAACAAGCTCTAATATGCTTCAGGTTGATGGACTTGAGGAAGCCGGACACTTAAAATGTACATATCAATATTTCTTTTCCAGATGTCCAAATGGAGGTCCAGCTGGTGGAATCTGGAGGGGATGTGAGAAGGCCAGGGGAATCCATTATTCTTTCCTGCCAAGCTTCAGGCTTTACCTTCAGCAGCTATGAGATGAGCTGGGTGAGACAGGCTCCAGGGAAAGGATTGGAATGGCTTGCTTTGATAGATGATCCTGGAGATGGGAGCACCCAATTCTATGCCAATTCTGTGAAAGGCCGTTTCATCATCTCCTGGCAAGATGCCTCCAGCATGGTTTATCTCCAAATGAACAACTTGAAACCAGAGGATACTGCTGTATATTACTGTGCTAGAGGATCACAGTGAGAAGAAGCTACACTGAAGCTTGACAAAATCCCTCAATGTTCATGGCTGCCATCCAAGTTGAGTCAGCTTCCATGACCTCAATTTAAAACAAAGGAAGTTAGCTCTCCCTGCAGATGAGCAGAACCAGCTCTCTCTCATTTTCTCCATTGGCAGACTAGAAAATCTGCTTATATTCAATCAGCTGAATGACACCAATCATTTCTGATCCAGTTTCTCTTTTCTTGGTCACCATATGTGGATGTGTGCTTTACTTCGGAGGTGAAAGAATGGGAATAATGCTCACTATTGCTATTGTAGTGCTGTTTGCTGATTCTGTAAGCCACTTAGAGAGGGTGTGAAGCACTGTCAAGCGGTATATAAGTCTAAGTGCTGTTGCTATTGGACTTAAATGATATCCCTGCTGTTTTTTAAAAAAAATCAGTGATAACTGTGATTCTATTCATTAAATTCTGTTCAGTTTGTTTTCTTTCTTTTCCCCTTTTCAGGTATCAAATCAGAGGGACAGGTGGTAAAGGCTGAACAGGATGCGAGAAGGCCTGATGAGTCTCTCCCTTTGTTATGCCAAGTCTCCATCTTCACCTTCAACAGCTATGATACTGATAGAGAATATTTTAGGCTTGGCATGTCCAAATTTCAGAAAATGTTTAAGTCGATTCTTCTGGCATGTCACAATTAACTTCCACCCCCATAGAAAAAAAAGAGAAACAATTCTCTATATCTCCCCCATTCCCCATTTAGGATCCTGGGCATAGATATTTGGTGGCAATGCCAATTCTTGGCCTGAATCAAGGCACAAGCAGAAACTTCAGCCTTAGCACTACAGTTGCTATCCAAAAAGGCTGCCTTGCACCATTTCCCATAATTGCCCCAAGGCCCAGTACTGTTGTGGATCTGCCATATATAATTTTCCTTCAGACTTTGTTCTCTTTCTGTTGACAGGCACTGGCTCTCCAAGGCTGTTCCAGGTCAAACAATAACCATAGTAATAGCATTTAGATTTATATACCACTTCACAGTGCTTTACAGCTCTCTCTGAGCACTTTACAGAGTCAACACAATGTCCCCAACAATCTGGAACCTCATTTGACTGACCTTGGAAGGATGGGTGGCTGAGTTGAGCCGGTCAGGATCGAACTGCTGGCCGTGAGCAGAATTAGCCTGCAATACTTCATTCTAATCACTGCACTACCACAAGCCCTTCTTCATTCTTGAAGCGACTTGAGAATCAGAAGCTTGTAGTTCTTTTCATGTGTTTGTTTTGTATTTTTTTCTTATATGTTTTTAGAGGGGTGTAATGGCTCAGCAGTTAAATACGGTGAGCTTTTCAGCTGGGGTGCTGACAGCTGCGTTTGAGACCTGAGCTCTGTGCAATGGGGTGTGCTCCCATTACTTGCCCAGCTCCTACCCACCTAGCAGTTTGAAAGCATGAAAATGCAAATAGATCAATAGGTACGACTTTGGTGAGAAGGTAAGAGCATTCTATCCACCTCTGGTGTATAATCATGCTGGCTGTATTACCACAGAAAATGGACAACACTGGTTTTCCACAGCCAAGAAATAGAGATGAGCACTGTGTCCAGAAATCAGACATGACTAGACAGGGAAATTTTTATCTTTTACTTTTGTATTTTTTATCCATGAAATATAACAGACTATCAAAAAAAGCAACATTATTATAAATGGTGTGTTTATAATGATAAAACTTTATACATTATAGAAACCTCATTTAGAAAAGAAACTAACTAAAAAATTACTCAGTGCCTTGACCATATAGAAATGTATAGTTCTACTTGCCCCAAAGCCAAAAGATTCTGGTCAAGAATGCACATATGGTTTGTTGGGAGAAGGAGTTAAAGTGTGTTATGGTTTTGATTGATAGTATAGTTGATTAATGTTAGTTAGGTTATGTTTGTTTATTTTATTTTTTATCCTGTAATCAGCTCTGGGAAGTGGGGGAGGGGGGAAGGGGTGGGGGGTTTATATTGTAATAAATTTATAAAATTTTTAAATAAAAAAAAGAATGCACATATGGTTAGAGAAAATTACTAAAAACATATAGATTTTAAGCCAGAATTATTTTTGTTAGACATAATTATAGGAAACTATGAGAAAGAGTGTATATATCTAATTTTATATGTATTAACTGCAGCAAGAGTTGTATTCACTCAACATTGGAAAAATGAAGATTTACCAATAGAGGAAGAATTAATTAAAAAAAAATAGATTGTGCATAAATGGATAGATTGACACTGAAAATGAAAGAGAAAAAAGATTCAGTATATTTTAGAATATGGGATACTTTTTACCAATGGCTAGAAAAATGAGGTAGAGAGAAAGGAATTTAACATATATTTGTAAGTTAAATGTTGGAAACCCAGACAATATGTTGTTGATAAAATATTAAGCCATTTTAGAATATGAAAACATTTCAAAAGTAGATTATCAGCACACTTACCACCCATTCCTTAATATTAGAAAAATGTTTCTATCCACTTCCAATTGTTCAACAGATTATGGTAAAGTAAAGCCGTGTTTAGAATAATTATCTTTTAAGAAAAATATCTCAATATCCCAGTTTTATTGAGCATTGTTTAATCCATCATGGGGCTGTACCAATAGTATTTGGTTTATTCAATTTCTGGATAGTGGAATTGAGTTTGAACCATTTCCATTCAGTATTGAGATGTTATATTTCATTTTTGATAGGCATTTTATGGAAATTCTATCTGTTTTTCTGCATTCCTTTAAACAGTCCATACTGTTATGAAGAGTGTTTAAGAAAATAAAAGCAATACAACTTTTTTTAAAAAAACAAAAAAGTAAAGAAAAGTAACCAATAACCACTAAACAATTCCTAGTAGTTAAAGTAATATAATTGAATTGAGTTACCTCTTTGATCAATGATTTCTTTGATCTACAATCAAAGAAATGTGGAGAATAAGAACTGAGAAGTCCTTTTATTAGTAGGGATATGTAAATTCGGGTACAGTTTCCTTTTTAAGTGAAGCAGCTTTCTCTACGGGCTAAATGCAGAAACCTTTAGAGTTTATGGAGGTTTGAATGCATTCCACAGAATTCTCCTCTGACTGATCAAAGATGACTTTTTGGCTAAGCTTGGCATTCTTGCTCACAATTCACAGAGGTAAATTTTCTCATGCAAAAAGAGGATTCTTCTTTTCTGGTTGCAGTTATGCTTATACAACCTATTTGCCCCAGGAGCTGTTGATACAGCTGGAAATGACAATTCAGAATCCAAATGGTCCCATTTTCTTCCTATACTTGATCCATTAGGGTAGGTTGTCTCAAAGGTGCTTTTTCAAAAGGAAACTGGACTATGTTTTTCCTTGAGGAAGAAGACCTTTTGCTTCTCATCCAAGAAGTTTCATCAGTTCTAACTGATGAAGAATTATCAGAACTATCAGAATGGATGAAGTTTTGCTTCTTCCTCAAGGAAAAACATAGTCTAGTTGCCTTTTGGAAAAGAACCTTTGAGACAAGCATGATTGAGACTCTCCATAGATATTAGGGCAGATCCATCCTAAGTTTCCTCCTTCAACAATTGAGCCACTGTGGGCTCCTGCCTGTCATGTCTGATTGTCTCTTCCGCCTGTTCCTCAAGATCCTCCATATCTTCCATTAAAAATGAAGACCATCTCTAAGATCAGAACTCATACCTGATTATAAAACTCTGGCCAGAAAATGTTATTTTCATGGATGGTGAGTACTTGTTCTTCAAAACCTTGAAGATTCAGTTCTCCAAGTTTCATTCTAATAAAGGAGTTGTTGGGGAATATGACCAAATTGACAATATCAAATTCAGCAACCAGCTCTCTCTTTTCATTAAAAGACACTGTTTCTCCAACTGAGTTGTTAAACCCAATGCTTGAAAGAACTGGGTGGAGCTAGATGAAAGAGGAAAAGAGAAGTTGATGGATTCAAGAGATATCTCCCGAGGTACTTCAAATATAGAGAATTTGGGGCAAGAATTCTCAGTAGATACAGGTGTTGTATAGTGATGCAGAACTGGAAAAGGGGGCTTTGAAAATGTGTAATTCAAAATAGCCATAACTTTCACTGCTATTTTCTGCAAATAATTGGCCGTCTCCAGTCTGACGTTTTCATGAGACTTGCAAGGACAGCTTCTATCCTTCTTCCAAATTACTCTTGGATATTTCCATGAATTGATACACAGCTCAGTGCATTCTTTCACATCCATTTAATTTGTTTGTGACTTTATTACACTGTACCTTACTTCAAGATTTCATTAGGCAATCATACGAAGCAGAAATCTTTCAACTCTTATGCTATATTACCGGAAAATCACAAGTAGTTCCTTTGCATATATACCAAACCCTCTTTTGAATTCTCCTAGACCTTGGAGTGATGTGATACTTCAATGAGTAAAATCACTATGCATCACCTGGACAAAAAGAACTGTTTCAGTTCTGTGGGAGCAAGTTATAGCTTTATAAAGGACTGTTGCTGAAATATTACCTGCCAAGGTTGGAGATCATGAAAACTTTGGCTTCCCACTATTTCTCTGTATGGAGATCTAGATGATAACATAGCATGTAGAGCATGTGCTATGGAATAGACTGCATTGTACACACTGTAACTGTGACCAGTCATGCTCGTCTCAAAAACAGGGCTAGGAAGATCTCCTAACTTCTCGTTGCCATTGCATATCCCAGAAACATCATCTGCTTCTTGCAAATTTGGAAATGAACACTCGAAGGCCTGCTCCCAGAATTTCTTCAGAAAGCCACCTCCATCTTTCTTAAAAGGCTTTATGTTCTGAAGGTAGGCTTGAAACCCTAGAGGCTTATTTGAATGAATAGAGAAGGAAATAGTCCCTTGGAAAATTCTAAAAAAATTACGAGTAATGAAGGATGTGACTGTAAAATCAATCTGGAAAGTTGTAATCCATACCTTTCCAAGAGATATGTTTGCTCCATATTGAAGATCTGCTAGAGGCACTAAAGTACTCAGCCACAGAAGAGTCATACTTTCACCATAAATGATGCATGCTCTAGCTTGCCTATCCATGAAGGTTTGATAGATAATTGATGCCATATCTCCAAGTTCATCAAGTGGAAGAAAGAGACCTTGTTTAGGGAGCATTCTTCTGAAAGCAGAACAGATTCCATTTTCATGCAACATCTTTTCCAAGATGTCCAAGAATTGTTGGCCTGTGTCATCATCCACAGCAAGGAGCCCAACCCATGTCCATCTGAAATGTAGAAGCAATTGAACCATACCCTTATACAGGAGACTTTCATTTGGGACCATGCGATAAAAGGAAAGAGGATGTGTTTTGTCTTCTGAGGCAAATGAACCATAACTAAGCTAAAAAGAAATGTAAGATTTTTTTAAAAAAATGATACATGAAAAAAAAACAAGGAACATCCATTTACTTTATTTCAGAAACTACATTTAGATAATCAATCCATGAATCAGTCACTCTCTTCATCAGTTCTTCCTGCTCTTTTTTAAAACCAGTATAACCCTAAACCTAACCCAATATAACAGGAAAAGGAATGCAATTATGGCACATTAAAAATATTAGTCAACATTAGTTTTTACCTGTGGAATCTTGTAGAGATTTAAGAAGTCTGCCATATGGGTTGAGATGTCCAAACTCATTCCGCCAATGACAGCCATAAGATGTCTTTCTGGATCACATTTGTAATTTGGGAGGAATCTCTGTGATTTGAAAAGCAGGTCAAGGGTGGTCCAGTAGGTCATACGTGCATCATAATAGCTATCATATATGTGAAATCCTAGTGTTAGATTTGGCAAGATGTTTGCATTTTCATTGATCTCATTCACAGCAAATGCCAAAGTCAGAACATGCTGATAGAACTTTGTCACCATCCTGCAAAGACAAGTATATAGCCAAATTATGCAGTGGATGCAGGGCTGAAAGAAGTAGAATTTCTAGACTATTTGTTTAGAAAAAAAATACTGGGTTGAAGAAGAATTAAAATGTATAATAGTTGGAGAAAATAGGCAGAGAGATCTTGTTGACTCATTTTCAAAGCATTAGAACAAGGGATCATCCAATGAGAGTGGGTATCATTGGAATAAAAGATATAATTGGAAGGCAATATAGAACAGAGTCAGAGAAGGCATTCTTTTACATAACATGTACCTGAATAGTGAGATTAATTTATTACATGATCTGGTGACGACTACTGAATATGGTAGCATCTCAAAATAAATTCATGGAGGACAGCTATGCAAGGAGGCTATTTTCCTTTTGAATAATCATGAAGATTTATGATTTAGAAAACTTTCTAAGCAACTTTTTATAACCATTAATGAAATATGGTGAACAAATTTTCAAAACCTGAGAATTGAACATGCTTATGTATTATTTGTTCAATGCCAAAAGCTGTATTTGGTCCTTGAGTTGGATGGGAAAGGATGAACTCCATTCATTTATTTATATATTTATTGATCAAATTTATCAGCCACCCAGTTCATGATTCAGGCAACTCAGAGCACGAATCAGATACGCAGTGGCAGAATAAGTAGAACCAAAATTAAATGCAATGTAACTTATATTAAAATCTAAATAATTACATATAGCTGATTTTCCCTAGTTCATGATGCTTTTAATTATTTTCCCTATCAAGGATGGTGGTAAAGTGCTTTGAATGTAGATCATTTCAGATGGATTGTATTAATAAGAAGAATGAAAGAAGAAACAAAGAATGGGAATATGAATAAGAACAAAGAGGATGTGGTGAAAATTTGAAACCAGTGATAATAATGATGATGGAAGTATTGCACAATATAAATTGAGAATACAGCTGTTCTTATTAAAATTGTGGGATATTATACAGTGGCCTTTCAGTCAAGTTCAGATTATCTGTATGAGTCATCCATGAAGTTTTCTTGGCATAATACCGAAGCAGATCTTTAGATATTTTATTTTTAACCTTTTATCCTTTGTATTCCCTGGCACCCCCTATCTAAGCCCTAACCAAGACTGACCATCCCATCTTCTGTGGTTCTCCATTTTGCCCTGTAAAAGGAAAAATCCACAAATCACATCCTAGTCATTCCAGCATATTACTGAAATTCCAAGCTCGCATGAATTAGGAAAAATACATACATACATACAGAGAGAGAGAGAGAGAGAGAGAGAGAGAGAGAGAGAGAGAGAGAGAAATAACCTTACACTGCAAGTTCAATATCTAGGTCCACATAAGGATATCGCTCAAAGTTAACTGCAGGGAAAAAGCAAATTATTTGAGAAGCCATGCCACCAATATTGAGATCCCCAGGTTTATGCCATTCATGAGGAACCGGTTGCACCTCAAGCAAAGGACAGTTCTTGCTGGACTTTGTGCATGATATTTGGGGCAACAGCAGGAGCAATACTACTAACATCAGAGCCCATGAGAAGACCTTTTCTCTGGACATAGCCATTGCTGCCTCATCCCTTGCATTGGCCACTTCCACCCAAGTTGCACTGAAAGGGTGAAGACCTGGCTTGGAAAAGGGTCTCAACCTTAACCTGAATATCAACATCCTTGAGAATGCATTAGTCCCTGAATGAATGCTGCAGAATAATTTGAAGGAACCGTAGTTATGTGTTACAGAACTGTGTCTCTTCTGCTCCTGATTATGGCTATGGCAGATAAAACCTGGGGGAATTTGTTAATCACATCTTAAGCTGAAGAAGAAATGGTTTGTGGTTTCTGTATTATTTTCCAGAAAGTTGTTGGCATTGTGCCAAAGCAAATTAATGGTTGAAAATTTCAAGGATCATAATTTGGCCTCAGGGCGTATATTAGACAGCTAATTATTTTTTTCCCATTCTTATCTCCTCTTTTTCTTTCTGTTTGTTTTCAGGCAGAGAGTTGGGAAATAAGAATTGAAATAATATGTGTATCTAAAGTTGTGTAAGGAAGGTAAATCATGTATGTGTAATAATGTTATCACTCAATTGGCATGACTTAGGAATGTGCATCTGATATTATGACACCGTAGCAACCCACCATAACAGACTTGTCTTCATCTTGACATTATCACCGTTTTTATTATCAACATCTCTCATTTTTAGGATTTCAGCTATCTTTCATCTGCTTATTTGAAATGTTATTCTACCAATTAAATTTCAGGTTTAGATTCTCCAAATTTAAAATCTTTGAAAACACAAAGCAACCACTTATCTTTTTATTCACAGACCAAAAGGCAGTGCACCCTTACTCAGCAACTACTGATTCAACCACATTTTTTTCTGATTCTAAAACTAACAAACAAAATAAGTCTTTGGTTCTTGTTTCATGTACAGTATGAATTTGATATCAGTCAATCAATAAGGTTTCCTATAGATATAAACATTTTTTTCTCAGAAGAATCATTAACACACTGACACACACACACACACACAAACTGAAATATATACAAATACTGTTATTTATTTATTATTTATTTATTTCCTTGTTTATTATAACTTTTTTGTATCATCTCTTCTTTAGAAATGAAATATGAGAAAGCTATCAACAATATATAAATCAACTCAGGTTGTAATGAAAAATATAATCTAAAGCAATTTAAATGTTGCCAAATAAAAGCAGCACATGAGACCAATAAAATCTCATGTAAGATATTATTCCAGATCTTAAGAAACCAAATCTCAATTGGTCATCTCACTAGGGCAGAAATATAAATTCATTTTCAAAAATATCAGATTCATGTTAAAGTTTTGAAAGTTATTTTTGATATTTTTTGAACTACAGTTATGAGTGATTTAACAGCAATGCTAACAATGAAAAAAATATTTCCTAAAAATATTCCATCCGAGATTACATTATGACATCCTCGTAAAGGTCAAAAAGATAATCATCTTAATTGCAGTAAGTAGCAGGACAGCATGAAACTCATCAATCTTTTTAACAATGGAATTGACTTACACATGAATATAATTTCTGTTCAAATTTGCTTTTCACCAATAGAAACAAATAAAGGTTCAAATAAAATTTCCACCGGTTAGCTCAAGTGGTAAAGAAAATGCAGTTCAGAGTTCCTATCCAACAGTTAATTCTTTAGGTGTCATCCCAGTCATCACTCTATAGGTTCAGTAGGATTTAATAATGAATAATTTTACAAATAATTTTGCATTAGAAAGTGGTTCTTTGTTGAAACTTACAATTATATAATTAAACAAAAGTACTTTATTATATTTATTTTTTTCATATATTTGTTGGGTGATCTCAAATAATAAATGATAAGCAGATATACTGGTTATGAAAGACAGTTATTTGATGTCAATCATAACATAAAGCAATAGGATGCAATTACATTGGTTTATTAGTTGTCCTTATCAATCCCTCCTTATTATTCAGCTCAGGTCTCAGCAGGATAATATAAACTTTTGGAGAAAAGATACAAAATAATAGGGCAGCCCCAGAGGCCAAAATGGAAAAGATCTCCACAGCTACCATATATTTGCCTTTAGTGCTCAAATAAGTTGGGATAAAAGTTAGCCAAACACTGCAAAACATGAGCATGCTAAAAGTGATGAATTTGGCTTCATTGAAAGCATCTGGCAGATTTCTAGCTAAGAAAGCCACTATGAAGCTGATGATGGACAGAAGTCCCATGTAGCCCAAGACAAAGTAAAACATAAAGGTAGAACCTTCATTGCATTCTGCTATCATCTCGCTTGGCAGGGATTTCATGTCCAACCTGGGGTATGGAGGAGCAATGGCAAGCCATACAGTGCAAATGTTACCTTGAATGAGAGAGCAGGAAAGGATAATGGTGTTGGCCAGACTTTTTCCCACCCACCTCCTCACATTGGATCCTGGTTTAGTGGCCATGAAAGCAAGAACCACAGTGCTTGTTTTGGCCAACACACAAGAAACTGCTACAGTAAAGATGATACCAAAAGCAACATGACGAATGAGGCAAGTGACTTTGTGGGGCTGGCCAAGGAATAAAAGAGAGCAGAGGAAGCAGAGCAGGAGAGAGGAAAGAAGAATATAGGTGAGTTCTCGGTTATTGGCTTTGACTATGGCTGTATCACTGTGTTTAATAAAAGTAATAAACACCAAGACCGTGACCAGTGAAAAACAAAGGACAATTGAGACTAAACCCATTCCTAATGGTTCTTCATAGGAAAGAAAGGTTATTATTTTGGGGAAACAGCTGTCATTGCTCTGGCTTCGATACTGATCATCTCGGCACTGCATACATTCATCTGTGTCTGAAAAGAAAAGGGAGAAAAATTGTCAAGAAAAATAAGTGTATCTATTAGACTTTGACTGGATCAGAAGCCAAATGAAAACAGCTTACTTCATAATAAGAATAGAATAGAATAGAATAGAATAGAATAGAATAGAATAGAATAGAATAGAATAGAATAGAAATAAGGAATAGAATAGAAATAAGGAATAGAATAGAACAGAACAGAACAGAATAGAATAGATTTATTGGCCAACTGTGATTTGACATATAAGGAATTTGTCTCCAGTGCATAAACTCACAGTGTATATATTAGCAGCAAGTAATAGATCATAGATCATACATCATAGTTACAATCATTGATCGTAAGTTACAAACAACAACTGATAAAGCATAAGAATCCAATCCGATGGTGACAGCATGGGGAAAAAACCAAATTTATGTCTAATTGTTTAAAGCAGCATCCTGAGGGGAGAAGTTGAAATAGATTATGTTTAGGATATGAGGGTTCTGTAAGTATTTTCTCAGCCTTCTTTTTTGGTTCATGCAGTATACAGATTCTCAATGAAGGCAGGCTGGTTGTGATTGCTTTTTCTACAGTCCTACCTATTCATTGTTTTTGGTTACTGTTCCAAATCAGACAGTTATATAGGAACCATTGTAATAAAATATCATACTGACTGTCAGAAAATGGAAGAGTATGTTGAGCCTCTTAGGCTGTGTCTGTTATTGAATTGGAAGCCAAATCAAGACAGCTCAGTTGAATACCATGGAGGAGCCATCAAAGTTCCTTGTCTTTATTTTCAAAGACAAGCCACAACCTGTGAAGGAATACCAGACTGACTCTCAGAGTGATATCAGAATATCAACAAATGCTACAAAAAAAAACCAAAAACCCAACAACAACAACAACAACAATATAATTTACTAGATTTTATCATACTTAAGTAGAAATGGATAGAATATCTGGATGACTTTCACAACTATTTTACTGTTTTTTTTTCCCAAAAGTAAGCTCTCCCCAGAAAGTAACTCCCAGCTGATTTTTGGGGGGGTTAGGCCTAATATAATGCAGGGAAACAAAAGGAGTTTGTGGGGGGGAGTCAATCAATCAATTCTATGTCACTTACCTGTCTTGTTGGAGATCTTTCCTTCTGGACAAGGTGAACAGTCATAGCAACAAAATTTCTGCCCTTCCTTCTTTTGTTTCTGAAACCCCGGTGGGCATGAGTCACTACACACAGAAATAGGACATACCTGTCCATAAAAATCAAAAGAGTTGTAAGGAAGCTGATAGCATTTAGTTATTGTGGAGGGCATACACAACTGAAAATCAGGAAATAAGTAATTGGTCAACATAGATGAGCATATGTGTAGTATATACTATAATGTAAGCATGTTTTTTAAAGTGGACTAAAATTGTATTATGTTCCTATTTAAATATATATTGCTTTCAAAATATTGTTACTAGAAATAATAGTAATATTTAATAAAGCAATAACAATACTGAATTTATACTAGCACTGCAACCAGAATGGACAACTCGTCTTGGCCAACTCACCCTGGCCAATTCATCCTGGTCATCTCACCATGGGACAATTTGCTGGAGGACAATTCAACATAGGATAAATCAAGAGAGGGACAAGTAGAATTGCAGCTCACCCCAGCCTTGAAGATTTCTAACTTGAGAAGGTTCAAATCTAAAGCAAGACAAGACCAGCTGCAATTCACTTGTCCCTCTCTTGAATTATCCTACATTGAATTGTCCCACAGTGAGCTGTCCTGTGGAGATTTGTCTGTTGCCAATTAATGAATGTCAACAGTAAAAATTTGGCAGCCATAATGTGCCTTATTGTTTTCATCTTGTCATTAGAGTAAGTGAGAGAGGGAGAGATGAGGCTTTGAATGGGCTAGTTAGAGAAATGAAACCTCTCCAGTTCTGCAGACATTTGCTGAAACACAGACGTGTGGAAACTTTTTGAGGACATTCTAACCTTGGGGATGAAGGTAACAGAAGGTTCTCAAAACAACAGAAAGGGGTTTACATGCACCACATGGACAACTGGGAGATTTGGCTGGGAATGTCATTGTTATATGTTTTGGGTAGATATCTTGGGATTTTAGAGTTAGTTTTCCTTCACCTATGCCATGTCATGTATTCAATAAAACAGCAAGAACTTCAGAAATGAAAAAAATCCGGGACTTTATTTTAAATACTCAAGCTGGACATTGACAACCAGAGTGAGACAGCTGGGGCTAGTCAACCATGGTGAATTGTCCTAGACCCCACTGCTATATCTTGTGGCATGGACAAAGTTTACAGTAGTGGAAATGTGTAACCACCAATGGTTTGTCTTATTGAAGTTAAATCTGTCAAGGAAATCTAAGAATGCATACCTGATTAAAGGAGCTTGGCCATTCAATAATTTCATCATCTATGAAGAATTGTTCTCTTTCAAAAGCCATTGGTTTTAACCATCCAATTTTGACTTTACGGAAGGAGTTATTTGCAAATAAAATCATGTGCATTATATCAAATCCAGCAACAATTTCTCTTTTTCCATTAAAATTAATGTTCTCTCCTGCTGAATTGTTAAATGATATCCCTTGAAGAAATGCATGTAACTGGAAGGAGGGAAAAAATAGTAGAGGGATAATAAAATTAAGTGTACAATGTCATTTCATGACATGTTGGAAGCAATTAAATTCAACACAATTTATTCTAGGAGATTATTTTATGTATGATAGGATGATCTCAAAGATCTCTTTCTAATTGCCAAATTCTGTACCATCAAGTTATGCTGTCAAAATTTCATTATTATTGAACAATGGGACAAAGTCTAATACATCTTTGGGTATAGATGAAGTAGATACTTTAATTAATTTTGTGGGCAATTTAATTTGATTAAATTTATGGACAGTCTTTGACCCTGATACATATTGTTGCTTTTATCTGTAATTTTTATATCAGTGATGTATCAAATGCAGGCACCATACCATGAATCCCAGTTACCATTGCTGTCTATAGAATTATAAGTTCAAAAAAGGATGAATGATAAATATAGAAGGGACGGAGGGAGGGAGGGAGGGAGGGAGGGAGGAAGGAAGGAAGGAAGGAAGGACCAATGTACGAAAATAGCTAAGTCCAGCAGGCAAGAAATTTAAGCTGTAGCCCCAACCCTGTCTCAGAAATTGAAATGGATGCAATACTTCACTTAGATCTTAAGAGTTATTCCCTTCTATTCACATATAGACAATCCTCTCTTGCGAGTTAAGACATAAGTCTCCTCCCAATTCCTGATTTCCAGTAACAGAGTGACAGATGGCTTATAAAAGTGAAAGCTATCCAGTTAATAAGATATTTTAGAGAAACGTTCTTAATATATAATTGTTTTCTGCTGACATGGGCTGCTATGGCCTTAAGAACAGATTCTCTCTCTCTCTCTCTCTCTCTCTCTCTCTCTCTCTCTCTCTCTCTCTCTCCCCTCCATAAATGCCCCAGGGCTTTAATTAGAGTTAGGAGGAATCTGTCTATCTATCTATCTATCTATCTATCTATCTATCTATCTATCTATCTATCTATCTATCTATCCATCCATCCATCCATCCATCCATCCATCCATCCATCCATCTACCCATCTATCTCAAAATTTGGCTATTGTAGAGCAAACAAATTGTTCTACATCCTTTTGGAGTCCAATCTATTTTCAATGTTCTATAATAAAGCTGAAAGAGATGGTCATTTTTAACACCATTTGTACACTTAAGACTCTGTGAAAAGAAATTGTTGGCAGCCAGGAAAGGAGGGGGGGAAGGAAGATAGGAAAATGGTAGTAGATTTCCATGAAATTTTGGTTTATTTTTCTTCCAAGATTAACAAACAGAACAACAACAACAAAAAAAATACTGTGAGAAGACATTGCATGAAAAAAGTCAGAGATTCCCTCCCCCCAGAACTTTGTTTTTTTCTCATTTGGCAGATAAATGTACAAATTGGGAATTTCCACTGGTTAGACCAAAATTCTGGATTATTAATTGATTCTTAAATTTATTTGCCTCCCATCTCACCATCGTGTGACTCTGGGTGGCTTAATATTATCTTGTATTATTAATTCATATATTCAGTCTGTTTCCCTATACTGCTTTTCTAGTCCTAGTTCTATAAGATTTTAAAATATTGTTTCATTATTTTCTATTCTATTACACTCTATTTTAACCATTCATTAAAATATTGCTGCTGGACAACAAATATTTATCTATGACAGCTGACAGTGATTACAGATTATAGTCTTCATTAACAACTGCCTCATTTACTAAATATTTACAGTTACAATAATGCTAAAAAAATTACTTTGCCACCAGTTCTCATATTTACAACCTTCAGAAGTCTGTAAAGCAAAGGAAAGTTGAAGTAATATCATATTGATTGTTTTCCTTAACATCCGAGTTGCAGTCCCAATTGTGGTCGTTAATGAAGACTGCCTTTATTAATTAGTGATTAAAATATTTTTTCTCTAATAAGGCAAGTATTTGGTTTGTTATAAAAGCAATAATGGACATAAGTCCCCAGGATGCAGCTATTAATTCTAATCATCAATGATTGGATACATTGATATGCTAGTTAATTTCTGGCAGCAGGATCATTGAAATTATCAGAGATTAGACAACCATTTGTCTGGGATGATATAGGGTTTCCTGCCTGAGCAGGGGATTGGACTAGAAGACCTCCAAGGTCCCTTCCAACTCTGTTATTCGGTTATATCATTCTGTTATGGGAATATTACCTGCCAAGGTTGCATGTCTTCAAACTCAGATCTTTGCTCCCCCATTCTTACTCTGTATTTAGTCTTTGATGAGTGCATTGCATGAAGAGCATGGGCTACCGCATAGACAGCATTGTAAATACTGTAGCTGTGGCCATTCATTCTCACGTCAAAAACAGATTGAGGAGGCTTAGCCAGGTTCTCCTTCCCAGTACATAGTTCATCCTGCTCCAATGGTTCCCCAGAGTTTGGAAATGAACATTCAAAAACCTGTTCCCAGAACAACTGGACAAAACCATCACCTTCAGGCTTGTATGGATTTTTCTTCTGAAGATATATCTGAAATTCCTGAAGTTGCTTGGAATGAATTGCGAAGGATATGGCACCCTGGAACATTTGAAAATCCATCCGTCTGGTCACTCCTGTTACTGCAAATTCCATCTGAGCTGTCATGATCCACACCTTCCCAAAATATGCGTGATCAGAAACTAGAAGAGTATTATAGGTAATTAACCACATAAGATTCATGGTATCTCCATAGATGATAAATGCTCTGGCCCTCTGATCCATAACAGATACATGGAGATTTCCAAATGTACCCATATCATCACTGGACAAGACACGGCCTTGGCGTGGAAACACCTGAACGAAGGCTAAACAGATTCGATACTGGGAAAACAATGCTTCCATGCTTTGCAAGAAATATTTTCCACTATCATCATCTCCTGTAAAAAGACCCACCCATGTCCAGCCAAAGTGTAGAAGCAAACGGATAATTCCCATGTACTGGTTTTCATCATTTGGGACCATGCGATAAAAAATAGGATCCTTGGGTTTTACAGTGTCCTCAGGAGCAAATGATCCATATGTGAGCTTAAAGGCAAAGTGCATGGTGCATTTTTATAAATCAATCATACCTGCAGAAATGAAATTCTTACCTTTCAATTTCCCTTTGCTAAAATTTAAAATTTTGCCTTTACCTATTTAACAGAGATGCAGAAATATGAACAACTTGAATTAGAAAGAAGGATTCTGAACCTCTCTAATCCTCCCAGGAGTCCTTATTTCTCAAATTCACTAAGCTTAATTTCTTTCATTTTCTAGCTTCTCTTTTCTATTTCAAAACCACCTGTGCGATGAATATAACATTAATAAAAGTAGCAAAAGCTGATCTCTGCAGATATGCATCATCCTCACCTGTGGAATCTTGTAGAGTCCTAAAATATCTGCCATGTGAAAAGAGGTGTCAGATGCAAGACCTCCCACAACAGCAATTAGGTTTTTAGGGAGTCCACATGCATAATTAGGAAGAAAATGGTGCAATTTAAAGAGCAAATTGAGAAGATTGTAATAGGTCATCCTCTGATCATAGTAGGTGTCATAGATGTGGAATCCCACTGTGATATTTGGCAAAATTGTTGGTGATTTGATGATTGTATTTACAGCAAATGCCAAAGCCAAAGAATTCTGGTAGAACTTGGTCAGCATCCTGCAAATAGAGTTGCAAGGCCTTTTACATATGAAATTAATCATCGTGACCAGCACAACTCTTGGGCTGATGCAATGTGATCAGAATTATGAAGATGAATTAAGGTTAAGACTAACAGAATAACAGAGTTGGAAGGGACTTTGGAGGTCTTTTAGTCCAGCCCCCTGCTCAGGCAGAAAACCCTATACCATCCCAGACAAATGGCTGTCCAGTCTCTTCTTAAAAACCTCCAGTGTTGGAGCACCCACAACTTCTGGAGGCAAGTCGTTCTATCGATTAATGATTCTAAGTGTCAGGAAATTTCTCCTTAGTTCTAGGTAGGTTTTCTCCTTGATTAGTTTCCATCTTAATGGATGGAAAAGAGGGGAGCAGATAAACTGAGAGTGCATTCAATATATGCATTATGAAATTCAACTGAGTAGGAACCAATATTTAGAAATCAGTGAAATACCTCCAACCATAATACATGTGGTATTAAAAGTGTTCCCTGAACAAACAAACCAAATGAGTATTTCTCAGGGAAAAGATTTTCCAATCCTGCAGTCAATGACTTTCCAAAAACTGAATCATGGCCTATTTTTATAAAACTATAGGAAAGAGTTCTAAAAAAATGTGTCTTTATCATAATTTTTAATGTTCCCTTCTCTCCCTTTCTCTCTTTATCCAGAATAGAATAGAATAGAATAGAATAGAATAGAATAGAATAGAATAGAATAGAATAACTTGTTAATTTCTACATAGAGAAAAGCATGAAATAGTTAGTCTGGTTGCTAGTCAGTCTTAACTAATTAAGTTCCTGCTAATCAATCTTAACACTTGTGGCTTGCTGAGAGACAAATTATGCCTCTGAGAGGCAAATTATGCACAGGAGACAAATTCCTTGTGCATTCAATCATACTTAGCCAATAAAGAATTCTGTTCTATTATGTTCTGTTCCATTCTTTTTTAATCTATGTCAATTTTAAAATCTTTTTCATCCATATTTCCAGGTTTCATATAGTCTTCCCAGCCATGGAACACTGCTTTCTCCAATTTAACAAAACTCCTCACTTTCTCTGCAATTCAACACAATACTGCATGTGCAACAAGGTGAAGATAACATTGAATTAATGTTTTTCAAAAAAGAAAAGAAGGAATAATAGCAAGAGACTAAAGTTTATATCGAAGTAGTAGGTGACTGTCAGCAGTCTAGAAAAATGACATCGATGGAAATAAGACCACCTGAAGATACCCTGTAACAGGGATGGGAGAAATAACATGTTTTACATTTTTATTTACTATACATGACTATTTCTAGGAGTTGAGTAGTACTTGATTTAAGAAGGGAAGGTTGAGTGTCTTACACTGGAAAATCAAAGCCAATATCTTGTGAAGGGATATTTTTGAAGGAAACTTCATTAAATACATAAATGACTTGAGATGCCATCCCACCAATGAGAAGTGTCCCTGGCTGATACCAGTCATGAGGAACAGTGAAGAATTGGGTTTGAGCGCACTTTGTGGTCACTCTTTGGCACTCTTCAAGGGATAGAAAAAGGAACAGTGCCAGGAATTTCACCATCCCTGCAGATTTGTTTTCCTGGAAAAAAGAGTCTTCTGCATCTGATTTCTGCTTTGTCACCTGTTTTAAAGAGAAAGCAGCAACGTATCTCAATATTACATGGCACAACCAATACAGAAAGAAATTTTAAAAACTCCACAAAACAGTTCAATGATCTGAAGCCATTTCTGTCCAAAACAGTGGAGAACTGGATAGGTTAACACGGACAAAGCCTGGGCTTGTCTCTTTTCCATGAAACCAGTTGAAGAATACTTGTATATTATAAACTCTTTCTCAACTGCACATCACATACTGATTTTTGTCTTCTTACCTTGTGGATAATTGTTGAAGGTCTGATCAATGAAACTAATTATAAGTATGCAGCAATTATAAGAGAAACAATTAACTCTGCTGTGTATTAGGGATAACATATTGTAAGTAGATGTTCTTTTTGTGTGTGTGTTGTCCTTGATGGCCTCCCTAATGGGACACCAGTCAGAGATGGGCTCCAAGAGGATCACATTGATTAAATATGAACAGAATAGCATAGCCCATGGGTGCAGTTGGACCAAGGTAAACAACTTTGAACCTGAAGGGAAATGCTAAGTCAATATTCTGCTGATCCTTATGTCCCACAATGAGTTGGAACAGTTTCTTCTGGTCTTATATCTAATAAGAGAACTGAGTTTGAAACTTTGATTTTCTTCAAACAGGAATAATACTAGAATGCATTCCTGGACATGTCTGCAAATAGATCAAAATTTAGATTTAATAATTTCAACTAAGAATAGAAATATTGATCTAAATAATATGAAGTTAGGTTGATCTAATTCAGAATAACAGAATAACAGGGTTGGAAGGGACCTTGGAAGCCTTCTAGTCCAATCCCCTGCTCAGGCAGGAGACCCTATACTATTTTAGACAAGTGGTTGTCCAATCTATTCTTAAAACCCTCCAGTGATGGAGCATCCACAACTTCTGGAGGCAAGTCATTCCACTGGTTAATTGTTCTCACTGTCAGGAAGTTTCTCCTTAGCTCTAGATCAGTGGTTCTCAACCTTTTAATAGCCATGACCCTGGTCGTAAGTCGAGGACTACTGGCCCGGGAGCGCCACGTACGTGTGGTGCCGTCCCTTGCGCCGGCTGAGGCATAGCCGGCAAGGGGCAGCGACAGGCAGGCCCGGGCACTCCCGGGCGGCCATGTCAGGCAGGGCGACCACCGGTTGGGCCACCAGCTGGCCCAGCCGAAGGCAGGTAAGGCACCCGCCGGGCTCCATGCATCCAGCAACCCTCCCTGCGCCCGCTGCTGCCTCGCTAGGATTACCTTGGCCACCACCCGTTCGGGGCGGTGGCTGGCAGGCCCAGGCACTCCCGGGCAGCCATGGCAGTGGCGGCGCAGGCCGACCACTGGCTGGGCCACCAGCTGGCCAAGCCCAAGGCAGGTAAGTCACCTGCTGGGCCCCACGCATGCCAGCAACCTTCCCTGCACCCACTGGCCTCCCATCTCCCACCCCTGGCCTTCTTTTACTTACTTTTTAGTTGCTCAGCAGGGAGGGAAGCTCTTCAGACTGTTCCCCTTGTAGCACCGTTTGCAGACTGGGGCTTTTGGCAGGCTCAGCAGGGCAGAGACAGCCCTGGACAATTCCTATTGGCTTTTGAAGGCCAATAGAATTAGACTCTGTTCAAGAGAGTCTATTCTGTTGGCTTTCGAAAGGCAATAGAATAAGAGGGAGTAGCAGAGCTAAGGAAAAGGGGGGGGAAATGGTGGAAAAAATGGCGGACTGCATTGTTTGGCGACCCCCATGAAATGGTCATTTGACCCCAAATGGGGTCCCGACCCACAGGTTGAGAACCACTGCTCTAGATTGTTTCTCTCCTTGATTGGTTTCTATCCTTTGCTTCTTGTCCTGCCTTCAGGTGCTTTGGAAAATAAGTTGACCCCCTCTTCTTTGTGGCAGTCCCTTAAATATTGGAACACTACTGTTGTTTGTCCCCTAGTCCTTCTTTTCATTAAACTAGACATACCCAGTTCCTGCATCCGTTCCTTATATGTTTTAGCCTCCAGTCCCCTAATCATCTTTGTTGCTCTTTCTAGAGTCTTAACAACTTTTTCACATTGTGGTGATCCATACTGGATGCAGTATTCAAGTTCTTATCTATCATTGTCATGGCTTATTGAGAAAACAAAAGAGTGAGGCCACCTCTTCCCTTTTATATTCAGGATGCATTGAATGAAGGCGGAATCATCACAGAGAGAAAGTTTCCCAATGCACCAACAGAAGTAAGGAGATACTGTAGAAAGGGGAATAAATTAGTGCTATATAGTGAGACAGGTGTTCCATACGAACTATTGGAAGAATAGTTTCTTGATGGATGAGACCAAAAGAGTACTTTTGGGCCTGAATGTATCACCTTACATTTGGCAAAAGGCAAACACTGCATTCTAGCAAACAAAACCAGTCACTTATAAATGAAAGTAGCTGTTGTCTTTCTCCAGTCTTTGCCAGCACTTCTTTTTTTGGTCATCTTCACTAATCATTTCATCATCTTAACTAATCAAATACCCACCATTGTGGGTATTTCAGAGTCTTTCTGTGTTTGCACATACAATAGTTTTACAGCAATATTCATATACAAAAATAATCTTCCATGGTTCCCAACTAGTTTCAATTGTAAGTTGATCTTTAAAATCCTTTGTATAATTATATATTTGAATCCAGAAATTTTTGACATTTTTTAATAAATCTGCCAGGCATGATAAAATGATTTTTCATGTTGTCC